GTTTGTATTGCACTCAAGGGAATTTTTTGATTGGTAGGTATGATCAAAGCATATCAATTAGAGGTATATTTCAAGGGAAACACACATTATGGGCTTTAATTTGAACAAGTACCTGTATCCTCTTTTATTCATTCATTTTTAATTTTACGAAATCGTTTCAGCCCTCACTGAATTTTTGTATCAATGAGTTTTCAGATACATTTCGTATATTTTTGAGCATGTGGTAAAAATTCAGAAGTCTGCAAAGGATAAAAAACAAATGACAACAAGTAATGTACGTTGCACATTTGACCATAAGATTAATTCTTATTACAGTAATATTTCGAACAAATCCTTCAGAAAACCAGAAAAATGTTTCATAAAGAAAACAGTCATATTGTGAAAAATTCCTGAAAAGGATTTTTTTAAATCCTTAAATGGGAAATGAAATACTTCTTAATTTGAAAAAGGAGTTATAAATTTAAAATACTGGACTTACACTGGAATGAAATCTTTGATAATAACTTACCTGATTTTTAGCTGTTTTAACCGAATAAACCATCTGGCTCTTAAAGGTGTTACTTGATAAATTACTTGTTTTCTTGCTTTCAAATGCACAGAAGCCTGGGCCACTAATATCTCCGACAGGTAAACCTCTTCTGAAAATAAGGCACGTTTGCATTCAAACTGCACTATCAATAAAACAGCTTAGGCAAGGTCTAGATTATTTCATACATTCAAACACATTTCCGGTCTTGTGCAGAACTTTGGTAATCAATATTTTATACGATCTACGTAGTTTTTTTTTTTTTTTTAAAAAGGACATTATGTGATTATTAATGCATAGGGTCTTTGTTGTATCTACTGTGTGTTTCAATTATTCATTTAGTTGTGATCAATCATTACTTTAAACAGTATGCAAAGATTTACAAAACAACGGATTATCTATAAAAAAAAAATTGTATAAATTATTGCCTGCGTGAAGAAAACAAAAATAAAATAGCACATTTTACCACATGTTAAAATCTAAAGTATTGCATATTTAAAGCTGATTACATTAAAATTTTTGTCCAAATTGTTGAACATTTTGCAGTCAAAGTTGGGGGTCTTTCGGATGAAGAGGTAAATTATTGACAAACAAGATGATGAAACAAGAATATCAGCAGTCTCGTTTAAAGCCATCATTTCGTAAGTTCTATGGTCGATACAGTGACCTTGTCAGCAAATACAATTTATCATTGAGTCATATGCTGACTGACGTTTTTCATACTAATTGTTAGGCCATTATTTACACACTGAATTGTCGACGGATTTTTCCGTTATTTCCCGATCATGACAAGGAGCACACGGTGGGTGTGACCGGTCAGCAGGGGATGCTCACTCCTCCATGGCACCTGATCCCACCTCTGATGTTTTGGAGGTCCGTGTTTGCTCTGCACCTATTTTGTACTGTTTAATGGACTTTTGAGCTTGAATACTGTTCGTTATCTCCATATATTTCATTTGATAACACCCATACCGCTGTATCTACGCTTTTTCCAGATAGAATACATTGTACTTTGGAAAATAAAAGTGTCGGTCTGTAATACTTAAGTATTGCCTAATGTAAATTAATTGAAGCTCGTGGGTAACGGGGTACCATAAGGAAGTGGGGGACAACACGGTTCCTGTTATGATTAGCATTAGATTCTAATTGTTCTTATATAACGTAAAAAGTCGGGTTTATAACAATATATTGTATAATTGTATATAAAGTCCCTCTGTTTGTTTTATACCTGATTTGTAACAGTAAACTAGATAATTTTTATAAGTTCCTCTGTTTGTACTCTACCCGGTTTGTAACAGTTTATTGGATAATTGTTTATAAAGTTCCTTTGTTTTTTTGGTACTTGATATGTAACAGTCTATATTTGCCTATAAATCGGTCCACCTATAAGTCGGTTGAATTTTTTAGGTTGTTTTTGAGGGATTTGCCATTGAACTGCTTATAAGCCGGGACAACCTTTTGCCATAATCGGCTGACAATAGTAACTTGAGAAATGACACCGATATTTAATCTTTTTTTTTCTTCTCAACAAATCAATGAAATATAGAGATAACAAACAGTATTCAAGCTCAAAGTCCATTAAAACAAGACAAATCGGGAGTAGAATAAACACGGACCTCCAAAAAACAGCAGAGGTTGGATCAGGTGCCATGGAGGAGTGAGCATCCTTTGCCGACCGGTCACACCTGCCGTGTGCTCCTTGTCATGATCGGGAAATAACGGACGTAAGGATCGACTCCTTCAGTGTGTAAATAATGGCCTAAAAATTAGTATGAAAAACGTCAAACAGCATATGACTTAATGATAGATTGTATTTTGCTGACAAGGTCATTGTATCGACCATAGAACTTACGAAATGATGACCTTAAACGAGAGTGCTAATACTCTCTTTTCCTCAACTTGTTTGTCAATACCTTACCTCGCTTTAGAAATTGTTCATAGAGCATGCTCTTGCGTACCGAATCAACTAAAAAATATATACCCCATATGAAAGGTGATAAAGGTATATTGCTGAATAAGTTATTTCATATTAATATTCTAGTGTATTTACCTAACTGTGTTCAAAAAAATATTTTGGGATATGACATCGATAGTTAAATAGTTAACCTGTCATTTTTCTACAAACCAAAGAGCTACTAGATCACGATAATTTGTTTACCTTCTTTTTCTACCTTCTTTCTACATAACTCTCTCAATTAAAATAAAAATATATACAGTGTTTTTATACTTTTATTTCTTTTATACTGAGCCTCTATTGAAAATGAAAATATTCATTACAGAGCACATCAATATATAACATTCCGATGATTTTTATGAATTTTATAATTACGAGGTGCTCAATGTCCAAGATATATCTGTTATTGATTTATAAACGCTACACTTGTTCTATTATTGGTAATTATCATGATTCATTTATCTAAACAATTATTGTGTTTTAATTACCTGTATCCCTAGCCCGGCACTGTGTTTACTTAGTGGCACGCACCCCGAGAAAATCGGGTACACAGGAAACAATAAGTTTCATTAACAATCGAATTTTAAGAATTATATTCTGCATATTTTTAACAATATTAAATCTTTTATCAAAATATTTTAGACAGGACAAATGAATATTTCAATATTATTTATTAATGCCAATCTGGCGCTATATCGGGGTTGCAATTCAATTTTACCGATAAACGATAGATTTACAGTAGGGCGTTACTGAAAGAATATTAATTATGTAAATAATATAACATAATATAACAATACACATTTAAAGCAAAACAAAATAATACAGGTTGTTTCAGCAAACATGTCCACACTTTGCGGTTTCAATATAAAGTTAGACAGTATTAATGTAAGGAAATTTTTGCAAAAATTAAATCACATAACCAAACAATTTTATCAATATAAAACTTGAAGTAATGCTGAATCATTTATTTTTAAGACAGGATTTTTAAAGTTTGGACATCAGCAGCAGTATTCAATTAAAGGTCATTTTAATTGGGAGAGGACTATCTATGGGAGAGGAATATCTAAGTTTTTAGAACTTGTGTCCAATCCCTTTGACACATTGTCAATAAAATATGTTCAAAACAAAAACGAAGGTCATTTCTTATGTGTTCAAAATGGCCTCAATGTTTTTCAGTCAGCAACCTCATTTTGTTTCCGAAGTCCAGTACTGCTTAAATTTTGATATCATTTGAAAAGTCTGTTTCCTAGAAAGATGGTTCTCATATGAGTTCTTTTTTTTCAAAATCTTATGCACTAATATTGGTGATTTTGCAGATTTTCTGTTTGCATGGTTTAGTTCAAAAATATCGAAAGATCTAGTTTTGGAGAAAACACCTGACAAGCTGACTTTTGAAGATGTAATCAAGACTTCCATTGAAAAAAATGTAGTGTTTTATATTGTTTATATCTCAATTATATTGCCGGAAAATGTACTATAAACTACAGTTATAATTTTTTAAATATTCTATTATTGTGCAAAAATATAGACATCAAAAGTCGAGACATGTTTGTTGAAACACTCTGTATTTGTACTTTATAACGCATAATCCTAGAATACATAAATACATGTAATATAATTTATCCTGACTTTTGTCTACGATAATCGTCGGAGTTGTTTAAAAAATACTACATTCGCCGATCAGAAAAATACCAATATTTCAAGGACTCGCCTATAAGTCGGACAAAGAGTTTTGGACAGAAAAACGACTTATGGGCGAGTATGTACGGTAACATTATACGAGATAATTGTACATAAAATTCCTCTGTTTGAACTGTACCTGATATGAACTGTAAACTGGATACATGTAATTGTATATAAAGTTCCTCCGTTTGTTTTATACCTGATTTGTAACAGTAAACTAGATAATTTTGTATACGTTCCTCTGTTTGTACTATACCTGGTTTGTAACAGTATATTGGACAATTGTTTATAAAGTTCCTCTGTTTGAATTGTACCTGATATGTAACAGTATATTGGATAATTGTACATAAAGTTCCTCTGTTTGTATTGTACCTGATAAGTAACTGTATATTGGTTAATTGTATGTGAAGTTCCACTGTTTGTACTGTATTTGTAACAGTATATTGGATAATTGTATATAAAGTTCCTCAGTTTATTATGTACCTGATATGTAACAGTATACTGTACTGTATATAAAGTATGTGTATAAAATTGTATAAAATGACCTTGTCAGCAAATACAATCTATCATTAAGTTAGATGCTGTTTGACGTTTTTCATACTAATTGTTAGGCCATTATTTACACACTGAATTGTCAACGGATTTTTCATTATTTCCCGATCATGACAAGGAGCACACGGCAGGTGTTACCGGTCGGCAGGGGATGCTCACTCCTCCTTGCACCTTATCCCACCTCTGTTTTTGGAGGTCCATGTTTGCTCTACTCCCGATTTGTATTGTTTTAATGGACTTTGAGCTTGAATACTGTTCGTTATCTCCATATTTCATATAAAGTTCTCAGTTTGTTTTGTACCTTAACATTCTGCATCTATGTTCCTCTAATCTCCGAGCAGCCCCATCGATGTCCCTAAGTTTCTTATCACTCCACAACCTTTCTGCAACAGCCGACGCCTTAGGCCTGTACCAGAAAAAAAACAGAATCATGAAAGAAAAGATGTATCATTTAAAGCAGCTCATTTTAATTTTTTTAATTACTCTTATGACTGTTAGTTTTGCTTTCTATCAACACATTATATTTTTTGTACATTGGATAAAACTACCGGTATAAAATATCAACGAAATTTAATCTTATTACGCCATCGATCAGGAATTTATCAGTACCTTCTCAGGGGCCGAAATTCGGCCCCATTCCCAATTGAAAATGAGTTCATTTTTTCCCAATTCGGCAGTATTTTTCCCAGTTGATGAACAATGCTTTCATATTTAATTATCTTGCAAAAACACAAAGTAAAATTGTCACATTATCTGTTATTTTCATCTATTTAACTCATTTAGCAAAGCTACAATCATAACACATGTTTAAAAACACTGTAAAAACATCGCCAACTTTTAATCCGAATTTCCTCCGTTTTTTTTCTGAAAATGGTGATATTGTGTAATTATATAGATTTAAGTTTTAAGTATCAGAATTAAATATGATTATGTCTATTGCATCACATTTGTTGACAGAATTCTAATTTTAAAGCGCACCAGAATCCAAGATTTACGTGAACTGCTTATAAAAGATATTCATGCAAAGAGCACTCACCATAACAAACTGATAGCGGTCTCACTAGTGACGTATTCACTCCATAGACAGGCTTCCCCACCTAACACGAGGTCCTCTTTACCCCGAAAGCCTGAAGAAGTTCAACGTGATATTCCAAAACAGAAGCATGAAAGAACATTGAATATTGTTGATTGATAGGTAGAAATAGTACAATATGTAATGTATCTTAGTATATAGCATTGTTTTGCCATTCAGGAATGAAGTCACACATTTATAGTAACCTGTTTATACTTTTGAAAGTTGTCGACTTTGTCTTTCTACCAAATTAAACAAAGAAACTTGGCCTCTATTGGCAAAATTAAGCTAAATTAAGCTTTGTCGAGAGAGAGAAAAAAAAGAGAAAAGTTGAATGTTTTATAGGTGCCCTTTTTTAAAAATTGCTACTCTTGACGGAAATTTAGGGTCTACAGTGCCATACAAATGAATAAGGATTTACAAAGCAGAGTACATGTGTCGTACGTTTTGCAATATGACATAGTGTTATATATGCGTGTTATACCTCAAACTCGTTCCCAGTGGACAAAATTCACTTTTAAACCAAGGCGTTTCACTAACCTTCACCTACAGGGTCACAGAGATAATATTTTGGCCAAACCACGCCATATTGTATCATGTTGATGTACCAGCAAGAGGAATATAAAGCATGAAATCCCTGTCTTGTCACTTGTTCCATAAGACTCTGATCACCAAGCCAAACTTGAACAATTGAGTCGCTTGGAATCTAATGTTAAACAATGAAGGAGTAAGCCGTAAGAAAATCGAGTTGGGGCGTTTCAGACACGGGCATTTCTTTCTATAATAAAGGTTTTATAATATTATGAAACTATGTGGTAAACTTTATTCCAGAAATAAGTGCCTTTGGTTCTAGTGTATCATTTAAACTCAAACTTGCTAAGATTCACGCATGTGTACAAAATATCCCCTCATATTCAATATTACATGAGCAAGTTTTCAGAGGTCCGCGTTTCCTCTGCTCACAATTTGTATTAATCGTTATCTTCACATTTCATAAACACTTACATTTAAATTGGACTGATAGGCTTCTTGCCACAGAATAAATTTAACACCACTCTCCCTTTTCATTGCTATTTTCTGTATGTCTCTGATCAACCTAAAATAATATATGATATGTATCAAACGACTGACTCGCTAAATGGAAAAAATTAGCTCAATCAGTATTGTTGGTATACGTATTAAAAAAGAAGAGAAAATACCTTTCTGTAAAGAAATTCCACGCTGCAGTCCCTTTATCTTTGAACATTGATATATCGTTTATCTTTGCAAAGAGTTTACGAACCTCCTGGTTTGTATTCCTGAAGAAAGAAAGACTTTAATGATATATTGATGAAAACAATGAAGGATCCTGGTAAATCCCAATCACCTCTGAAGCTTAAAGCATGGGTATACTCTTTTATATTTTTGAGTAACCTATCATGATTTATTTTGTTTTTAACACCTCTGAATTTATTGTTCTTCTTTTATTTCTGCACACAGGTAGGTATGAGTCTTTTATTGTAAATACAAACCAAAAAGTAAATAAATGAAAAAAATAGATGATTTATTGTTGAAGAAATGCAATAAATAATCAAATGTGACGGAAAAAAGACGGTAAATTTGGCAAAAAATAGCAGAAGAAAAATACATTATTCTATACAGGATTCAATATAAACCTCGAGAATATTTGATTTCTTTTATATCCTACCAACAAGCCAGTGGTACCTCGTCGTTTCCCAGATGAACATAGTCATCTTTAAAAACTTCTAATACTTCTTTGAAAAATGCCGAAAGAAAAGTATAGGTTGAGTTTCTTGCAGGGTTCATTGGTCCAAAGTGACCTGGTATTGGACGCTCCCCATTGTAACATTGGGTCAGTAATTCAGGATGCCCGTAGCCCCAGGAAAACGAATGCCCTGTCAAGGAATTGAAAAGAAATTCATGTATTATCCTCACAGAATTCTCTAAATAGTGTTTTCTTTTTCTTTTATTTTACAGATCTTTCTGCGTCTTTTAAAGTCAGTAACTTATTTGAGCCATATGCTCTTGAAAGTGAAATTTTCCAATTAATTGTGTCTGTGAGAATTTATCTGTTGTTTGTCTAGAGTTTCATTTGTCTTCCATTTATTTTTAATTCTTCTAACTTCTTGTCCAGAATCACTTATACTGTTTGCCAATCTTAGATAAACTTAGGGGGAAATCCTATTGGCCTATTGGTCACACTTGAAGTAAAAGTAGAAAATCTGTATCAAAACTCCCCACCTGGTGTATCAAATTCTGGTATAATCCGGATCCCCCTGAGTCTGGCAAATTCTATTATTTCCTTTACATCCTCCTGAGTGTACGTCAGTGATGGGTGGTAAGCTCCCTACGGGAAGTAACCTGATTAGTATTCACTTTTATTTTCCTTTCTTCCTCTGTTTATAATGCTACTATTGCTAAGTATTATTATACTATTGCTTTGTATGAAACAAAATTCAGAGCATGTATTTTTTTAATTGAAGATCATTGAATCCCATTTTTCTGTTTCAAAATATTACAGAAAAACTTCACAGTTTGGAACTGATCTTGAATCATGCTCCAGGGTGCCATACAATCCAGCAATTGTAATCTTCAAGACAACATACCTTTCCGCTGAGATCAGGAAATGTTCGGCTCTTGTAAGGGAAGGACTGGTCATCAGATAGATGCCAATGAAGGACGTTCATTTTGTTCATCTCCATGGCACTCTATAAAAATAAAAAAAAAACATTTAACTTGACATTTATTTGGTAATGATATTAACGATTTTGTGGATTTTTCTGCAATAAGCAGATTGTGTAATTTTGAAAAGGATATTCGTGAAACCTGCAAACCTGTATCAGCGATTAATGCAAAATATATCATTGTGTTGGTTGTATTGAATATTCATATATTTTGATTTTCAGTGACAGTAAACGATCACTTCACACCAACATTATATTTGTAGATACAAGTATTTCATAATGTTAAAACTTAAAAGACACGCTTACGATCATCTCGTCGAAAACTAATTACAACTAAACATTTCATCAAAAAAGGATATCCTAAGCTTAATGCATCAAGGAATAAGGTTTCACAATATTTCGTGTACAGACTCTACAACATATAACATAGGACTGAGCAAACGTTGCCCAAAAATCCAAAATATATTTCTGACTAGGATAACAATTTGCTCTCAAGATGGAAAACTGCTAAGGTATGATAGTCCTACTTCATACTATGCAAAATATGATCCCGGCATCATTTATTTCTCATTTACAGTAAGTCATCGTCACCTACTTAATATGTAGAAAGTTTTGGAAAGTGACAAATTTGTTAAGTCTTTGGGTTGCTTTTACAAATTATCTGATCGTAGCCATAAACAAACCTGATCAACCAATTTTCACACAGTATGTTAATCTAGTATTAGTGGCAAGAGAATCTAAGCTAAATAATGTCTTTTTATGCTAATGTATGATAAAAAAATAATGAAATAATCTGAAACACATCGACAAGTACGCACTGCTATCGGGTCATTGTTTAAGATAATGCTTTTCAGTCAAAGATGCCTTACCAAAACTTGAAATATCGTTGTTTTACTCATGAAGTGTCTTGCTGAATCAATTAAAATCCCTCTGTGTGGAAACCTTGGAAAGTCTACTAACCTAGTTTTCTTAATAATAAACTGAAAAGACAAAACTATAAATAAGCGCACCTGTCATTTCAGGATAATAAGCTTCCAGCCATTGTATGAAAACAAGCGATAGCTGATACAAGTTCGCTATAACTCCTCTGCTAATATACTGTATAAGTAAATAACTCCTTTGTTAATATATATTTTTAAGCATATATTTTCATTTCGTAAATTTGAACTTTTTGGAAACTTGTGCAAAATCGGAGAAACTTGATTTACGAGAAAAACAGTAAACGATAGTTTACAATAGTAAATTATATAGTTTACTAAAATAATTCTTTGTTAGGAACGAATTGAGAAATAAATATATTGATATCTATCAAAGCATATTAGTAATTTTATTATCTGTTTGAATTCCTGCTTTGTGGAGACTTTTTGTCTACATTTTTTTTTAAATTTATGAAGAACAGAGAGGAACAAATGTTGTCTATTTACAGTGTCGTTGATACAGACGATGAGTTGACTTAATGTTTCCAGGGCTCGCAGAGCACCCCAGACATCTTTTGCTCCAATCCTTATTTCACTGGTAGCTGTTCGTAATGTGTCTGCAACAAGTAATTTCTTATAACATTAAATTATATCAATCTGATGATCTAACGTGTATATTTTGAATTTATTGCAAGAAAAAAATACATTCTTTGCGCAGCTTTCACTTTCAATCTTCAAAGTTGAGAAGTTAGATAAATAAAGAAATGGCTTTGTGATTTAAAAAGTCTTAAGTTTTAAAACCTATGATGTCATATTTCTAAAGTGAACAAACCTGGAGGTTACTATATATAGAATTTTTATACTTACAAGATTCATCTGACGATAAGGTTGGATAATTCGAACACTTCTCAACATTAAAAGTAAGTTTGGTTAACTCTTCCAAGGACATCATGTATTCGGAACTTGGTTTTTGCATTGAAAAATCAAAGTTGGAATTTTTCAAGTGTAATAAATTGTTTGTAAAATGAACATAACTACAGGTGAAAAAAATATTCCTATATCTTTGTACTGCTTTTTGCAATACATGACAGGTAGAAAAATTGGCATTCACAGAAAGTGTCTTGATTCTATAAAGTTTTGTCTCAGATGTTTCAAAAGTCTGCGGTCTGGGCCATGGCAGGCCTATCGTAGGTATAGGGGCTCGGCGGATATGAAAGGGATGGTGAAGGTGGTTACTGGTTGGAAAATCCAAATTCATATTTTGTTCAAACCATCTTATACTAGGCTTTTCGTGTACATTGACGTTTCTTTCTAAAATTGTTTCTCGTTTATTTTGCACCCAAACATTGCGTAACACTTGTTTCTTAACTATTTTGTCAACTCGTATCATTCCCTTTTGTTTTTGTTGTTTATATTCCTTGTCTAATTCTCCTGCAACACAGAAAGAAGCCATATAAATTGATATTTATCAGAAAGCAGGCGGGATAAATTCCATAAAAACACACTTACTTCATACCAAGCAATACATCATTCTTCAAAAGTTGAATAGATTTCACGGCGGGTGTGACCGGCCGGCAGGGGATGCTCACTTCTCCATGGCATCTGATCCCACCTCTGATGTTTTAGAAGTCCGTGTTTGCTCTGCTCCAAACTTTGTATTGTTTAATGGACTTTTGAACTTGAATACTGTTCGTTATCTCCATACATTTCATTTCGTAGAATTCCCCCCTAACCCCCCCCCCCCCATGGAAATATATTTTGCATTTTTTGCCCTTTCTAATATATTTGGCATAAGAAAAATTATGAAAACAAAAATCAAAACAAACCTTGTATTCTCATTTGTAAATTACCCTGTGTTGATATAGTAATATAACAGGAAAACAAAAAGAGACTGTTGATTTCAAATCTGCAAAATAAGATAAAATAGTATAAACGTCCTTTTCTGTATGGTTATTTCATAAATATTATGCATGAAAAGCTTACCAAGTTTATTATAATTTTTTTTCAATTTTCAATTATGAACAAAACCAAATTATGAAAAAAGCAATACCTAAGATACTTCCTTGAAATTAAGAGCCAGGCTTTATAGATACCCAGTGAAACAAAAATCATCATCGTAAAAGGAGTCATGTCTGAATGGTGCAGGGAGTTTCGGCCCTGATCGAAGCCATCAAGACATAGCGTGTTTTAATCACAACTTTTTTTTTGTAATACCCTGGAGTACTTATATTTTATGCCATATATGTGTATAGTTTTTAAACACCGGGTTTCCATTATTGCATATTGTCTTTAATTTTTTTATCCACTTGTACGTAAGAAACATAAAGTAACCAAAGCTCGAATTTAGATTTACATATACTTTGGAAGAACCTTGAATTATAAGCACACATTTATGTCTTGGAATATTATTTTCTACAGATTGCAACATGTTTTTAAATTTAAAAGATTAATGACAATGTTTATACTCCAATCTTCAACATTCACATTGCATCAATCATCTATACTCCTTCTGTATTTGAACACAGAGACATTTTGTAGATTAGTCCTATATCTGTGTATTAAAACGTTCTTTTCTACATGTTGTGAAATGATTTGATCACCTTTATCATTTACAACACTTCTTGAATATGTTGTAGAACAATACTTCTGAAATGATGTATTGGTTGAACATTTGCTGGACCCAGCAATATATCTTTGATTGTTAGGATTTTTATGAAGCTTTGGAATTCAGTATAAGTATGGTAAATCAGACTCTCTTCATTTGACTGGAATGTTAAAAGTATTAAAACTGAAAGGAGATTTTGAAGAATTTCTTCTTTTGAAAGGGAGCTGTGAGTATAGATTTGATTACAAGATGTGGAATTAAAACCGAGTTCTTCTAAAATGCAGTCGGAATAATGAGTCTCACAAACAAAGACTATGTTGTTAAAGTTTTGCTAGTTGGAACCAAAACATATTTTTCATGTAGTCTTTCTAATTCTTTCATCACTTGCGGTCTGCTGAAAACGGAAGGATAGATAGTTCGGATTTTGCACTTTAATTTTCTATTGCGATTCTTTATATATCTAAAACACTTAATCCATTCTGACAGAGTATCAAAGTCTTTCCCTTCATATTTAGCTCATCGTCTAAGCATATTCTTCGACGGAATTTCTAACGCATTTTTCATTCCTTCATAGTATTTATATTGGCATAATTTATTCCTAAAAATAAATGAAAGTTGAAAAATTATTGTAAGATTAATCCATATGTTACATTGATGGAAGAGCCATGAACATTTGTCACTTTTTAAAAATCTTTCATGAATCCAGATTTTACTACATGTAATTTAGAAGTAACTTGTGTTTATTGCTCCACATAAACAACAATCAATTTTCATTAGAAATAAAGGAGAAAATATTATAGGATTTTAAAATCTATTTTTGTATGTATTTATATTATTTATAAGTGAAACACAGATAAAATTCAGTAAAGTATAAATAAAACGATAATAATTACCTTTAAATCATATTCACATTCATTATTGTACGCCTAACTTTGAAATATGTACGAAGTGGAATAGGTCGATACTTTATATACAAAGCTGAAATAAATGAGAGACAGTTATATGTCTAACACCCCCCCCCCATCCCTCCCCATACCTCTCTGATTCCAAGTAATGCATTTTATAAGTGGACCCTCTGTAAGTCGACCCTGTAATTTTTGATTATCATAATGTCAGCATTTTTATACATTGTATAAACTTTATTCCGAATTATTTTTGAATAAAAAAGAAGAAAAAGAAATTGGCAAAATTGGATTCCACAGTAAGTGGGTTTATCGAAGAACATACTAAATAAAACGAATATTACAGAAACATTCAAACTTTCTGACAGATATAGAGACAAGATTACTAGAGGTGGGCAATGGCGTAATAATTATTCATGTAGCTTTTTAGATTTAAATCTTCTACCACTAAGGAAAGATTTCGATTTTTTTGCATTACAATCGTCCATATAAAGGAAATGCGGTTATTTACGCTATAAAGATATATAATGATTAACTCACTTTTTCATCTTGTTGCTCGTTTCTGTCCTTTACTTTGATGATAAATCATCGTTCCTTTTAAAATTTAAGGTTTTTTTTGTCGATAATCAATGTAATTAAATTCTTCCAATGAAAAATCATGAAACTTCTGAATGCATGTGTTTATCGGAACAAGCTGTTGCGTCGCCGGCGATTCTTTTCCTCATCATTACGCTTACTGGTCTATACGTTAACATCATTGACAGGAATAAAAGATGAAGCATGAAGAAAAAAAGCCCGGGGATTGTCTCGGTCAGCCTGGGGCCGTAGAGAGGCCCAGTGATGTGGCATACTTATAAATTACCTCTGTACCTGCAATCAATTTACCTGTTTTCTTTTTTAGAATCATTCACATATAAATTCCCGCACAATCTTTTCATGTTTTAAAACGTTTCAGAAAATACATCTGTGTTTGATGTACAGTATTCTATTCATTGAGCCCTCATTAGTTGTTCTATGAGCTTGGATTGTTGCTTTAGATGAACTTTTGATATCATGCACGTACAACTTTTTTTTGTAAAAGGATCTGTTGTCAATAGTGAAGGGAGTGTTTTGAAACTTAGAGATCGCGAGAGAACTTCATCAGATGTTTTATTAGTATCAAAACATAAAAGGAAGGACTGTTTTTTGAATTAGTCTGTACGAAATCATTATCAGATTGAGTTTTATCAATAGTCCTATACGAATTTTGTGATTGAGTGTTGAGTTTGTGATCAGATTGAGTTTTGTAAGTAGTTGGTTTGAATCTGTTGTGTGATCGAGCCCCGGGGCTCTAACTGAGAAAAGATGTCAAAATTTAGATTTTCAGTATCTTTATTGATATTTTTAAGTCTGCTCTCGGTTTATAATCTTCAGACCTGGTATGGCCTATCACGTGAAATTGAGTTTCGTCGATAGTTTTGGTATGAATCTCTTTTGTGATTGGGTTATAATCTATCATGTCTGATTTCATCTTTGAGGCATCCAACAGATGGAGCGCACGTATGATAATTTTAACAAAATATCTTTCCACTCTGATTTTATTGATCAACGTATCGCGAAAAAAAGCCACTTTTCTAAACGCTGTACATAAGCTGAGAAACATAGTGAGGTGATGTGTAAATTTTGTTTAATTAATTGGCGCATTTTTAACAAAAGAGATTAGTTGAAATACCTAATTTTAAGTAATTTATTTTGAAAAAAAAATCATTTCGTGCTTGTTTGGAAAAGGTGTTTTACCAAAGTAATTCTGCCTTCAACTACATTGTGAGGCTTTCCTTCATTACGACCCAGAGTAAAGAAACATACTGAGTGAAACAAAAAAAATTCCCAATGGTGGATCAGCGAGGGGGTCTGTCAACCCCTCCACCTCTCGGAATTTCATCTACATAGTTGAGAAGATAAAAATTCGTTTTAGACTTCAGCAGAAAATATGCCTTCCTCCTAGGATCTAAGGAAAATCAAAAGAAACGAAAGTATAACTACTCTGAAGACAACTGTTCCTGTATGCCAAACTCTCTGCAACAGCCTGACTAGAGCTTATTTTAAACACGGCAAGAATAGTTTTCTTTCTAAAAAGAACAGTTTAAAATTGAACTTTATTGACAAGTGAAATATAATGAAAAGTAAAATTATTCTTGTGGACCATCTGTTGAGCAATATCCATGTTAACATGCTGGAAAAAACACATTTCATTGCGTAATGCCCATTGATCGCTGACATGGTCTTTGTTAGCTTTATTTTACGACGATTTTTGCACTTTTCAAGCTAAACTTTACATCACCATTACATTAAGTGAGCAAAGTCTTTTGGGTGGCTTACATAGGGGATCAGGTACATAGGGACTTCTCCATGAGCCTGTACACTCAAATACTGGAACATTTCTTGAAATGATAGCATTATAACTCATGCTTACATGAGGCAGATCCAATATTGCAACAATTCATGTCTTAAAGTTAAAGAGTATTTTCAAATGAGTTCATAGTTAGCTCATAGTCATAATGTACATGGAGTGAGAGGTTAATATTTGGTTTAATGGAGAAGAAAATGCCTTAATACAGTCTATTATCCTTCTCTATTTTAGTAACCTTACTGAAATAGGTGAATATTACAAATGTTAAGAAAAACATTAAAATACTTTTAAACATGTCCACATTCATTACATATATTTTGTGCAGATTATCTAATTGAAAATCAATGGAAGTACGATCAACTTTTAAGTAAGTAACAAAGACTACCGCACGCTGACGAGTGGTGATAAACTCTTTGAACCTATACGTAATTGTTTTTCATATGGCAATGGAGTATTGGCGCCATCCTCTAGCCTTGCAGACGACCATTTTTGATATGTCTCCTCGGCCTCTTTTCGAGTCTGCGCAGAACCACACATGGAGTCTGGCCTTGGGGACACTGAATGGCGAGGTTGGGGTTCGGAGGTTCTCTTCAACCGTAACCATTCGGCATGTGGGATGGCAGCACTACTACGCCCATTCACTCTCTTGTCTCGTTGTTCCTCTTCCAGAAACCTTTTTTGCTTTTCACGTCTAATAAGCTCCTCTTCTCTTCGTTTCTTTGCTTTTTCCTTCCAGTCTTCAAAAGAAATCTGATGAGGGGCTTTTTTCATAGAAAGTTCTTTTTCCATGTTTTTTAGTTCTTCCAGGTCTGCACGGAGAATTTTTTGGATTAATAATTTCTTTTCTTCATTAAAGTCCATCCACTCTTCGTAAGTAATTGCAATCATTAACAACTGTTGTCGTTTCTCCTCTAATTTCTTTTTATGTGCCATGAAGTCTTGCATAGTCCTCAATCTCTCCACGTTTGGAATCCTTTTTGTCTTCTGCCTCTTCCCTATCCAATTCTTATACGCTTTAATATTATGAATCGGATCAGGGTTTCTTCCATCACCTACATCAGTTGAGCCTATCTGAATCAGGCCAGGTATAGGTCTAGTTATTGTTCTCGGAGGACCGTAATTGGCCTCCTTTTTCTTTTTTATCCATTCTTTGAAGGCATCAGAGTCTCCAGCATTGTCCTCACTATCGCTAGAGTCTGAGGAATCGGATCTAAGCTTCCGTTCCTCCGCCTGCTTTCTCTGTAACCAAGACTCATGTGTAATCCCTGAATTTCTAGATGACGTTGATCTTGCACTGTCAGTGCGATTGGCAGCTATGGAAATCTTTCTTTTCAAGTCCTTAAAAGATTCCATTGTCTCGGGTTTTGCAAGATTCTTCAGAGACCTATAAATGAAAATCACAAACAAAATATCAAAAAAAAAGTTTAAACAAAAACTTTTTTTTTTAAATAAAACAGATGACTATTCCTGTGTCATAAATTCAATCTTTATAACTCCCAGGAAAGTGCAAGTGTGGATAAATTATCAGTAAATCCCTGAAAATTATAGAGAAATCGTCAATAATTTCTGCCTATGAATTACATATGTATATACAGTTTCACACAGTTCCTACATATGATATGGCATACATTTATATCAGAGGATAATTGTTACCTTAACTTTGCTGAAAAACGAACTCTTTTTGGTAATTGTGAAGTTCCCGATTTTAAACTGCTTTTTCGAATATTGTTGTCACTATCACATGTATGTTTGTCTGACTCTCTTGTGGAATTCGACAAAGACGGCTCTTCTGTGTTTTTTGGGGAGTTAATTTTGTTCGACTCTTTCTGGTGTTCAGTTTGAACATGTATTTCAACTGTATCAACCGGAACAGGTGCAATTATCCTTCCGGGTGTTAATTTGGATTCTTCCGGAAGAGAGGGATTTCCAACAGCCATATCAGCGGAATCTTTTTTGAACTTTAGAATTCTATATTTACTAGCAGATAAGGGATATTGTTTATTTTGGATAAGTTTGTCGTGATGTTCTAAAAAGTTAAGATATCTTTTTTCTAGAGCGCCATCCAACTCTTTTTGTCTGGGGTTGGTTTGAGATATCACCCAATACCCGTCTGTCCTTGTTTTGATTGCGTTGTTGTTCTTGTCGGACCGTGCAGACAGGAGTTTCTTTGGTTGCTCGTTCTTATTGTGTGATGAAGCACTTTCAGAATATTGTCTGTTTGTACCAGCTGACGTAGATTTAGGTTTGGTGCTTCTCGCTGCTTCACTGTCATAATGGGCTATTTGTGGAGTACTCGATATCCTGCCTTTACGATGCAGATTTGAATAAGAGTTTTTGCCCTGTAAGTCCTTCAAACCTCGCAAATTTAACTGCATAAGACGAAGTCTTTTTTCGCACTGAAAGGAATTGTATGATTTTGCTACATCTACGGGACTTTGAGAATACCTATCGTAAACATGAACTGACGCGCCAGCATCTAGCAACATGTTGACAATTTGAATACGGTCTTTGCAAACTGCTGCATGTAAGGCTGTTCTGCCAAAATGTGTAGATCCATTCATATTTACACCTGCAAAACAAATATATGAATACAATTTAGAAATAGCCTGTTTATTGAATTTGCAAAATCAACTTTTTAGTTAAGTCTGATATACGCGACTCACACTCATCAAAATATATGACATTTTCATGAAATGTAACAATTTGTAGATCAAATATTTATTGCAGAAATTACAATCAAATTAAGAAGCTATAAAATAAAGTCGTATACCTATTGATATCAACAGATTGCACATCTTCACTAGTCCGGAATAGGCTGCGATAAAGAGCGCCGCTGTAGCGCGTTCCCGTACCATATTCTCTATTTTCCCGGTGTCATCCTGACCTACCATGATGTTGCCCTTCACATGGACACCGCCGCTGTGATACACGTATTCCGTGTTGTTCTGGACTACAGCATTATATAGCGTATCCCAGTTGTCCATTATTTGGGCTCGCAATAGGTACCCGTCCCTAACGTTTTCCTGGATGAGTAGCCTTTCTCTATCGCTTAGACATTCCCCATCGGGATAAGTTAGCATGTAAATGTTGGAGGGGAGTCCTGCAGCTAGTTCTAGTTTCCCTTTGACTTCGTTAACATATATACCGGAGGGAATCCTTCGGAGGGTACAAACTTCTTCCGTTGGTAAAACAACGAATAAAGTGAAAGATGTATCCGGACTCTTAGACTCCAGATGCGCCATATTTCCCCAGCCTAACGTTGTCTCTATACTGCAAAGAAACATATTTGTTTATTTTCGTTTGTTTTATATACTCATGAATGCATTTTTGGTAATCTGCAATCACATTTGCAAATGTTTGCTTTGTCAAAGTGTGTCTATTGATTACATATCAAATGTTTGCAAGGGCTGGGAATTTCGTTTTGTGATTAACACTGTATATCTGTAAATCTACCTGAATAAATCATGCCTCACACAAGTGAAATGCCCCCACTTAATGGATTATAAATACTCTGACTACAAGTGCGTTCTTTTGAATTTCAATAATACGAGAACCAATTGTCTATTGACAGATTGTTTAGCATTGGTATACATAATGAGACGAGTTTACCCATACAAACTTTCACGAATAGACTTTATGGGGAATTGCCAACTCCCCCTGATCTTCATTTAAAGAGAGATCATTTCAGTTTCGGTCCTAAGCATTGAAAAATGAATTTTGAGAAGCGATTTCCTTCTATGTCTTTGTTATTCAGAAAAATTAAATTCGATCTCAAGTTATCGACAAAAATGGAAAGATGTTATTTCATAAACTCTAACAGACTTCTTTAAACATTTATTTCTTAAATTTTCAAAGAGTAAATTTAACAAGGTACAAATCTACCTAGATACGCTCTGGCGTTATGAAATTTGAGACCTGGGCCGTATTGTTCCTAGGCTTAACAGCAGAAAATATTTTCGATTGAATTCAGATGTAATCCAATAAAGTTTAAATTAATTTAAAACAACCTTCTCTAGAGGGTACATTTTGTATTGTTCAGTTTAAAACGATTATAGATTTAATTGCATTTAAAATGACTTCAGGCTAATATTTTTATTGAGATAGAGACTAAAAAGTGCAAGTGAATAAACAAATCTTAATGACATTTTCTAACTGATCTTTGCAAATTGAAATTACCTCAGATTGAAATACTGAACTTTTTTCAAATATAATGACATCGTTTTTGGATAAATATACCACGGAGATACTGTAATAACAAATTAGAATGTGCTGTCTTGCATAGACTATATAAACACACTTCAAACTTTATTTCCTAATAAACCAAACAAACACAACACTACAGTTGGGTTATTACCTGAATAGCGTGTTATCCTTCTACATTCCACTACATTATAATGAAGTGTTTTACATGCTTTGGTCACACATATACGAGTAATTTTAACCTTCGTCCATATTAACACTTTATGATCTCAAGTTGATTCCAGTTTTATTCTCCCTTCTGTAATGACGACAAGGGAAATTTTAAAATTTCAAAGTACATAAATCCATTCAAAAGTTCTCAACCGAGTCTCTTCCACAATTCTCTCTGTAAGTGTTCGAGATAGATTTAAATGCAAACAAAACTTTAGAAAACGAAGTCGTGTGTGCGATATACGGATATAAATTATCTCTGGGGCAATAAAATTTTAAACCAATCATGTCATTTTTTTAAAGTTTGCTTTTGTTATTTAAGACTTATTTTGTTGATATAAGAATTATTACATTTTCTAAGTTCAATAATATCTACCTGTATTTCCCGACATTCATGTACATATAAAAAATATTTGGCAATGCAGAAATATATTGATGGAATTGATTATATTGAATGATATACCTCTAGCTTCTATCTTTATCTTTATTTAAAAAACTTATAATCAATAACTGTGCATCTTGGTAATTCAATTTGCTGACAGTTTAATTTACTTCAAATAATATCGTGTTCCCTATTTTGTATACCCCCCCCCCCCAACACACACACATACACCATTTCTGAGAATATTTGACATAAAGGGAAAAGGGTAATCCAATTCAGAATGATTGTGTCTAAATTTTGAAATGATAATTTCTGAAAGAAAAGCAAATCAAGCATTGCATATGATTATTGTATGATTGAATATTTCCTAGCTCTGTGATTGGTTGAGATCCAACATTATAGAAAAAAAAATTAAGTTATGGTCACCTGCACGGGGCCTTGCAGGTGAACATAACATTTATTTATTTATTTTCTATATTGGACTAAATTTCTACATTGGTACATTTTTTTATGAAAAGTTATTTCACATGCACTCAACTTCCAGGTAAACATTTTTGCTACATCGGACCAAAAATAGATCAGGAAACAAATTAATACAACTGATTATATTCATTTTTACTGCCTTTGGCTAGGACTACGACAAATGTAAACAATTTAATCAAGAAAGATGTCGAGGTTTCCTGTAGGAGTTCGTAACATTTAATCATGGAATCATGAAACCATTTATATCGTTTATATTCTAATTCCTAAAAAAGGTTTTCTGACAGTTAAGTATTTTTTCTTACAGTTTCCTTAAATTTTATTTTGCTAAATGAAAACCATGTAGCGGATTTTTATTTCTAAAATAATTCTTATATGTCAGAGAGGATACTTTTTCAAAATATATGGCCATGCACAAAAGGTAACCTGATCATTTTTTAACCACCTGTAGAAATTGAAATAAGCCAATTGACAAAATAATTATGTAAAATGCTGTTCAGGAGATAGAATAAAACACAGCGTTAGCTTGAAAAAGTCTTTATGCTCTTGTCTCTCTCAAATATTGGCCAATGTAAATATGATATTAATTATCAAAAACAGAAACAAAATTTTAAAAAACGGCGAAGAAATGTTTTCCGAATTACCCATGCAGGTAATGCCAAATTTTTGCGTTATGAAACTTTTTTTCTACTTCGAAAAAAACCCTGAATGCTTTTTAATAGGATTTAATCTTTAAATACTTAATGCAATAATAAGAAATGTAAATGGAATTTTAAGTGTTCGATGGGAACACACGATTTGTTTTAATTTCTTGTTTAAATCAAATACATGTATGTAACGGGAAACCCTGGCATAGATGATATGATAAGATGATATGAAGAATACTTTCTAGTTTCTAATTTGTATTTATCACCATTTTCTGGAGGAGCACATAGGAGGTGCACAACTACAATATGTAATAAAGTTGCGGATAAGAGATGGGTACCCCAGATATGATAAAAAGAATGGAAGACTGGTGTCCATGTCTTGCTATACAAAACCCCAAATATATGTCTGATCAATAGTAAAATAGGAGATGCACGACGGACCGATGTAATAAAAATTCTGTGATAGTCTCTTGAGATTTTAATCAGTGGTGTGGGAGGGGTTGTGGATTAGAGATGATGCCCCCAACGTTATAGAAAGAATGACAGCGTCCATGTTTTGCTATGGGAAACCTGAAATATCTGTAGAATGTGCACAGTGACACTATGTAATAAAGATTCTGTGAAAGTCTCGGAATTTTTAATCAATGGTATGGGAGGGGTTGTGGATTAGAAATGGGTTCCCAAAGGTTAAAGAAAGATTGGAAGTACTCATGTTCTGCTATGGGGAAACCCGATATATCTATCCGAAAGAAACTTTAAATAAGAAATAAGATAAGAGATGGGTACCCCCAAGCGTAACAGACGGACGCACAACCAATCACTATATACCCCGCTTTTCAAGGATGGGTATAAGTGTACTATATAACATTAGGATGGTACAATAAAATGCAATAATAGATATACATAGAAATCATTAAGCAAATTGTGTCATAATTAAATTTACAGACATGTATGTTTTGGTAAATATCTTACGTCTTACGGGGCTGTTTTTGTCCATCTATGACTTTGGGGGGGGGGTGTTTTTGGTTTTTTTTGGCAGCTTGAAGTTTCCCTTAATGCTGAACCCAGACTCTTAAACCTCAAACAAGCCAATACTTTTTTTTAAACTTTTACCTAGAAATTGCAATTGGAATATACTTTTACAAGAGTTTGGGATGTATCTGATTTCCAACTGACGATAATTTTCAATAACAAAATATATATAAAGGAGTTCAGGCAATCAGAAGTTTGAAGGTTATTCCCTATTCCTTATTGACTATTCGAGTGGCGAACCGCATGCTGTGACCGGTTCCCTATTCAAATTACCGTAAGTGTCCTAATAATTTAAAAAAAAAAACTTGAATAACTGATTATAATACATGTTAAAGAAGCAAATCAAAGACATCAGTTAAAAAAGAAGAGTGAGGACCCCAAACCAAGGTAGCTTGCCTGACCAAAATGATGACAATGGATAGAATAGGTAAACCTTGAACCAGGAGCAGGCTAACACCCTGGATCCCATATTTAGACCTTCATCTTTTTCATGGAGGAGGGGTCTGGGAGGGACCCCTCGACTGTCAAAAGGAATTGAGGTTACAAGACCGGGAACCTATTTAGCCAGTCCGGTCAAAATTGGAAAAATCCCGTGAAAAAATTCACAGATTTTGGTTCTTCGTGTATATTATCTTTCATAATAATATACTCTCATGTAAATTACTTGAGTTTGATTCGTCGAGAAACATTTGTTAAAAAACACTATTACCCTCTGAATGATGAAACCACGCCCTTCAGCGTGATAGAACTTAGCAACAATCAACATTGCTTGACGACGGGTGATATTCCTAAAAATACCATTGCGTCCGCTTCAGTGTAATAAATACTGCATGTATATGTAGATGACATGGCCGTAGGACCCGGGGGGGGGGGGGGGGCAAATATTTTGCCGATATATAGAATACTATAGAAAGCATAGCTACTAATATGCTAATAACGTCTGATGACCTTTTTTCTGCCCCCAAACTGACAATGTTTGGTTGTGCCCCCCTTCAACTGAAATTGCTTCCTACTGGCCTGGATGAGGGTGCGACGAGATTGAAAATGATTTCTTTGGGGTGATAATTTTCAACTACATGCAGTATTAATATTATAATGAAATTATCGCGAGCAGACAACCTCGCGTAATGATGCGAAAATAAAGTAATGCCTTACAGTTCTAAACGGCAGAATAAAAGGGATTAACAATAAAATACAAAGAAATTAATTTTCAAACACTTATCAAGTGAGTGATAACACTTTATCGGTATGTACGTAGAATTAATAGTTTTAATTTGGATTAAAGATTAAGAGTGAATGACTACATTGTGAATTATATCGAACAGAATTAATAGTAGGCAGATTTGTGTATGTAACGTTAATGAGTTGTAATCATCAATTGATCTTCATATTGATAGGACGTAGCGGTAATGAGCGCCCGAAATTTAGATGAAAAGTACTGGTAATGAGTTGAATATTTTTGACATGTAGAGGTAATGTTGAACTCCCGAATAAATATCAAGAGAGGTCAATGAAAAGACTAACTGCCCATCTCTGATTACTTGCCTCAAGTAGGATTTTAGCTGTGTGGAAATTATAAATTTAACACATTTTTCAAACTAAAAGAATTTTGTTAACATGCAAGTAATATAAAGTCCAAAAAGTTAATTTTCACAATAAGGATGTATTCACAATTTTAAAAGATATAGAGAAGAATTTCTAAGGAAAAGTGACATTTAAAAATCATTGTTTATTAGTTTTCTCATGGCCGTAGGAACGGGGGGGGGGGACCGTGCCCCCCCCCCCAATAATTTTGCCGATATATAGAATACTGTAGTAAACATAGCTATGATATACTTGTGCCCCCTCAATCATAAGGTCTGATGACCTTTTTTTTTTTTTCTTTTGCTTGTCAAGAAATTTTGGTACATGATAGTGCCCCTCCAACTGAGAGTGTATGGTTGTGCCCCCTCAAAGTGAAATTGCTTCCTACGGGCCTGCTTCTACCGCACCTAAAAATTATCATTTACAACTTCAGAATAAACTTCCAAAGTTGGCCAAAACAGCATTTTGTCCGTTGAAACGTCGATTTTTGCATGATATGATAAAACAAATTAAATCTGATGAATTGACCAAAATTCCTGTCTCAAGAAATCCGTAGTCAATTCAGTATGAAAATAATAGCCTAGCAATTTGTACGAAAGACGTCAGTGAGTATTCGACCCAATAACAGATTGTATGACCTAGTATTCGCAAACGAGTTCATTGTATCGGCCATAGAAATAGCGAAATGTTGACTTCAATCAATTAGCAGACAACCTTGTATCGTCAACTTGTTTTTCAGTAGCCTGTCTCGTTTTAGAAATTGTTCATACAAAGAACATGCTATTGCGTATCGAATCAGCTGTGATACATAAACCCCATGTGGAGGTGAAAAGGATACTGGAGTGTATTGCTACATAAACAAGGGAATTTGACGATAGAACAGTTGAAGTCATCACTTTTATCACAAAGTTTAGTTGTTATTTTGCTATCAATGTCTTTCTTTTGTAAAACATCCAAGTATGAAGCAGATGTGTCAGACTCCAAGGTGCTTTTTAAT